GATCACCACATATAAGAAATGAAAAAAAAAATAATAATGACTGACTTCAATTGCTGCTATCATTTTGTATCCCCAAGAATCCATAGTTTCTTTCCATTCAGGGAAACCTTCGGGTATTACTGGCTCAGCATTCAGTTCCTGTATAATTTAGATGATCGTTAGGATTAGGAACAAGGTATCATCTGTCCTTTCTCTTTATAGACAAGAATTGAACAGCATAAGACCTGAAAACGGGTATTTGATGGTCGAGGACCGATCCTCCAAAAGTATCGCCATTTGAGATCGGGCCCAACAGGAGTGTGAGGCTGGTTTTCTTTAGGCATTGTTTTTAGTTTTTCTTGCATCTCTTCATCAACCAAGCTTCTTGGAACTTCAACTCTCTCTGGTGTAACCCCAACCTGTTGCAGCCATTTGAAGCACCATTTATCATTACCATTACTTATTTTGCCATCAAAATTGCCAGGATGAATCACAAAAACTACCATAAAGTGATCCACAAGCCACAGAACAGAAGGAAGGGCCCTAACCACTGATGGTCCTTGTTCTGTTTCAAAATGGATGCTTGTATTTACCATTTTCATTGTTTGTAAAATCTCCACAATTTGCTCCAAGAATAAAGGACCTCAAGCCATAACAATCTAGAACAGCCCCACACAAAGACATTATACAATTAAATTCTCACCCAAAACGATAAATCACAAGTACATCCACCACCGATAAACCTCAATTACCAGATAATATTTACGGAGTAAAAAATAATGTAAACTCTAAAAAGTCTTGCCAATTCCAGGAAGAAAAGAACCTAACTCAACACAAATTACATAGATAAAAGAAAGAAGAAAACTCAAAATTAGTCACCAAAACCATATATCTTAGTAACTTGAATCACTAGATTTATAAAATCTCCCCTCCATTCCCAACTGCATAAAAAGAGGTTCCATTCAGCTCATTGTGATAAAAAAACAAAAAACAAAAAATGAAATACAGAACTTCGCAAAAGAAGGATAATTCTCAAAATGAAAGAATATGTTAAGAATTTTATAAAAGCGGAGACTAAGGCATTGGATTTGATTCTTCCAAAGAAAACAAGAGTATTTGACCGTATTCGATTCCAACACATTCATGATTCGTTGCCCACATCCATATAATATCAACAATTGATTTTCTCAACACAAGATAGTTAACAAAGAAAGCCATCAGGTAATATTCCAATATATTCGTGATTTGTTATGCAGGTCCGCCTAATGCCAACAACTGATTAAGATTATTTATTCTACCTATATTCAATCGATTCAATACAACGAAAAAGCCACCCCACCACGCCCCAAAAGGGGATATGAAATATTTGACAAGAAAAACATTGTGTAATGTTTGATTCTCACAAAAAACTAAAGCATCATCTACCACCTTCAAGGCCTGTTTAGTAGAATTGAGTAAAGCTTAAATCCAGACTTCTGGTATGATCGAATTAAAGTTGAAAGAGTTCAAAAGCAGTCTTGCTTTTTCAAAACCACATTTTTTTTTCCTTCTTCAATTCAGTACTGGAATTCGCTGTCGTGCATTCACAGAAGCGCTTTGCAAACTTCAAACCAAACATGGCCTAAGATTATTTTCTCAGTACGGCATTATTCATTATACCTTTACTCAAATGAAAACGCACCCTAGAAGGGGAAGAACGTCAATGGCTCCAAATTGGATTAAAAGAAAGAAACTTTAGAGGGAAAAAAACGACCCTTTACCTGGTAATGCAAGTGGGGTCTCTCGTGGAGGAGTTTGAAGTGGTGGGGCTTGGAGAAGTAGCGTTCCATCATGTCAATGAAGCGATCGTTATCTTGGACGGTGCAGCGAGGATCCTTCACGAGCAGCGCGCCGGTCTCCCTGAGCGTGCGGCTGACCTCGGCACAGAGGTGTGGGTCCCATTCGCCGGAGAGACAGGGAGAGAGATCTATGACGGGGAGATCCATTGAAGTGTAGGAGATGGCGGGAGAGTGAAGAGATTTACTGCAACAGTGATTACAGAAGCTGCGTCTTTATTCTCTTTCTTTCAGAGAGAGAAGGAGAGAGAAATTTTTTTGAACAATTTCAGAGAGCATCATTATGTCAAAGTTTTTTCCTATGAATAATTTGAGAAACAAAAACATGATCCATCTCTGCATGTGGAATTCATTCAGTCGGTTTGAAACTAAGAAAGAAAACACTTTTTTTCTTCTTAGTTTGGTTGATATAAAAATGGAAAAAAAAAAACCTTTCAGGAAATCGATTTAATTTTTTTCTTCAAATTTTCGATTTTTTTTTTAATTTTTCGATCATTTTTCATTTTTTTTCTCCATTACCAATCATAATTTTGCTTTACCTATTACAAGGAGAATTTATAGGTTAGAATTAAATCAAAAACATGAGCTCACAATTGTTTGTACCTGAGTTGTTTAACACTTATCAAAAGTGTATGACCCCTAAGTGAATTATCAAAATTTTGTATTATTTTTGTTTGTTTGCTTGTTCGTTTTGCTTTCATAAATGTTTGGTGGTGCATAATGTAAATGAGCTTTGAAAAATAATAATGTTTGCGTTTAAAAATACAAAAGAGTGAGTTCTTTGTGAATTTCTTATAAATGTCTCACTAATATCAAATTAGTATCAAAGATGGTTAGATCCAGCATTGGTTTCATGAATTCGTGAAAGAGTCAATGAAAGTTTTCCTTTTAGTGTTTGAGGAATAAGAGAGTTATCATTTTATCAAATTTTAAAAGTCTTTTCAAGAGAAAAAGAAACAAATGACCACAAAATATAATATCTTCTAGTCTAATCCTAAATTAGACGAAAAACTAGATTATATATTCAAACTACAACAAGCAAATATAATAGAAAATCAATATAAGTATACCTGTGAAAGTTATGATAACCCACATAATTTACTTATAACAGCAAATAATTTTGCAGGTGATGAAAATATTTTATACTTAGATGCTGGTTTCAACAACAACATATGTGGAAAATATTGATACAAGATCGTCTAGGGAAAAGACTGATCTTCAAAATAAGATATCAATGCTGTATTTAGGGCCATTGTTTTCTTGTATGACGGTAATTTTTCAATTTTGTTTTCTTATTTTAACTCCACAACTATGCAGTGATTATTTATTGTTAATATAGAGTTAATAATGTAACATTAGAAAATAGCTCATAGTAGTGTGAAATTTTCGTTTTAAAAGGCTTTTACAGTAATCCAAATCGAATTAGGATTCTCTGCTGGGTATTTTTGGTGTTCCTCTGCTAAGCATTAATAATACAATGAAAACACAGCAAAGGAAAACCCAGTGGAGATTCCAAATTCAAATCAAACTGGTAAAATATTTTCCTTTTTGGAGAAAATCTGTCAAATGGATAAGTGGACCTAACTCAAATTACTTTTTTTATTATTATTATTTTAAGGTTCATGGAGCCACTAAATTCTGGATCATACCCTGTTGAAATGGTTAATAACATCGGTGCAAGATTGCCAAAATTTTCAATGGAACAGTCGTTGATGGACAAAAAGTTTCTGCATGAATCATTCTTGTAGTTTGTAACATTTGTTTACATTGTCCTATTGCTTTTGAGCTTTGATTGTATGATGTTTTAAAATGTTTTGTCCTATCTTAAGAAATATTTATTGGCAAATTTTTCTTGTTTTATGGGTGCTGAATGCTGTCTCACACACACATCTACTATATAAAGAAGAAGGAAATAAATGTTCTGACAAGCTTTCTAATTTAAGTTAGGATTCCAGTGTACTGTTTTTCAGTATCATAGTTTGTCCACTTCTATTACTGACAACATTTTTAGGAACTTATGTGAAGTACCATAGTATAGGTAGTCTTGATTGCTACATGAATTTGGAGTTCCTCCATTATAAATTCTTTTTTTTTTTAAAATGATTTTTCCTCCATTATAACTTTCTTATTGAAATTTGGAGTTATCTCAAGTGAAGCCTGAAGCCTTTTATAAGAAAATAATTTTTCTCAAAAATAAACATCTCACTTTATCATTTTTTTTAAACCATTGTATGATGATGAAGAAGAAATTGATCAATAATATTTTTTAATTTAGAAATTAAAATTTAATTGTATTAATTAATTCTGTAATATTATAATATCTGTTTTACTTAAATATAGTATTATTTTTTACATAATAAAAAATAATATTTAAATATGGTAATTAAATCAATTTTTAAGTTCTAAAAGATTGAATTATTAAGAACAGATTAATGAAATATTCCCATATGAAGGTGATACTAGTTAAAAATTTAAAATACGTGTCTTGAATGAATTCCATTGAAACATATTAACATATTATAAAATTTAAATTTTAAAATTTTAAATAAGATCTTAAATCATAAAGATAAAAAGATATTGTTTAGAGTAACATTAAAATTTAAATATAATACTTAAATTAGCTTTTTAAATTCTTGAAACTGAAATGTTAGTATAATATTATTAAAGTGTCACTTTCATGAGAATATTGTATTGAAATAAAAATTACATTAAGATTTAAATATTATGTGTTGTTATACAGTGAAGTGAAGTACAAGGCAAATGACATTATTATATAATGAAAGATATCCTCAATTAAATATATTGTCAAAATTAATATATTAAACATATAATTATTACTTTTAGAAATAATGATTTTATTTCAGCCTCCTTCAAAGGTTTTCATCAACTTCTACCAAAGAGAACACATTTTCATAGCTTTGCCAACACAACTGGAATGGTACGAGGAAGATGGCATGAAGAAGTTGAAGTGGTTTAAGCATGGAACCTCTTAACCCTTTTCTGGAAGATTAGCATCTTTTTCATTTCAAGCACTTTAACCTAACTTACCATATCATCTAAGAAAACAAATATAATAATCAATATAACAGCAATTTTTCTTAGCCTTTTCACTTGCAAAAAGACAAAGAATCTCGCTTTTTCTTGTGGGGTTCACAAATACATGATAAAGATAGTTAAATAATATAAGTTCTGTGTTGGGGGGGCAAAAACCAAACCAAGTTTGAAAATTGAGTTCATTCATTCAGATTTGAACAATGTGGCTGAAGGTTGTTCTTCTCCTTGCAACGCTTTCTCTTTTTCACTCGGCAGCTTCTCTTAATAGGAGCAGTTTTCCCCCAGATTTCTTCTTTGGAACAGCTTCTTCAGCTTACCAGGTTTTGTTCTGTCCCAAGTTGCTCAACTCTCTGCATCTTTATGTGTAAAGGTTGGATCTTTGTATCTTACTTGGCACTTTTCTGTTTCCTTTCTGGGTTCTGTGTTATTGGGTTTTGAAGTATGAAGGTGCTGCACGTGAAGGTGGCAAAGGCCCCAGTATATGGGACACATTCACTCATAGCCACCCAGGTTTGCATGGCCTCTCTATGTTGTTGTCTTTTTTTTTTTATTCAGCATCCTTATTTGTCCATTTTAGCTTGTAATGCATCATAGTTGTTTCCTTTTGCCGAAGTAACCTATGCTTCAATATAGTTGTTTTAGTGGGGAAGTTGACCACAACCTCTCCCACTCTCAGTTCTAAACCCTTCAAATCAACCTTATATCTCCCAAATGTTAGTAGGGGAAGTTGAATCTACAACTTTGCCCTTCTAATTTTTACCACTAAGTCTGTTATCCTTATAAGTTGTGATGTTTAAATTTGTTCTGCTTTTTGGCTCTTGTAGGCCTGGTTTTCTCCTTTAAAAGTCATATCGTGGATTAAGGAAAGAGAGTGTTTGTAAAGTGTCTTTGAGCATCATTCATAGACAACGTGAGACTTTTGGAGGGATGGAACAGTGCTATAGGAGATTTATTTGGTAGAAAATACATTTCATGTCTTGTTCCTAGTAACTACTTTTTAAGGTTTAGGGTTTAAGTGAAAAATGTCTTAAACTACTGTTAAACCAACTAACAATACCCAGAGAGTTGAATAGGGCAAGCTTAGGTGAAAAATAATAAGGATAATGCTAGAATAATAAAATATCTGTTGGATTAGTGTTGAAGATGTACATCAATGAACCACTCCATTTCATCAATTTGCTTGATCAAATTGATTTTGGGTTTTCATTATGAAGTTGGTTTATACAAAAAATTGAGACATTTTTCTTGGTTTTTCAGATAGAATAGCAGACCACAGTAATGCAGATGTTGCCGTTGATTCATACCACCGCTACAAGGTACTTTCTTTCTCATAATTTTGAACTTAGAAATCTAGTTGTAGAGGAATTTCCTTAGCTTCGCGAGATTTTATTTCATCTAGATTGATGATTTTGTTTTTTTACATGTGATTTTCTTTTTTTCAGGGGGATGTGGCTATGATGAAGGATATTGGATTCAATGCCTATAGGTTCTCCATCTCTTGGCCAAGAATACTACCTCGTGAGAAACTATAATTATCTCTTTTATTGTTTTGGTATAGCAAAATGCTAATTTGAATCATGAGTTTGCATGCTTTTGAGGGAATATATATTGAATCACACATAATGGTTAGTAGAGCTTTGTATGGTTTTTCCATAATGCAGTTAAGTTTAAACTACCTTGATTTTAGATGGAAACTTGCAGGGAGGAGTTAACCGAGAAGGCATTGCCTATTACAACAATCTCATAAATGATTTGATAGCAAATGGTCAGTGGACGTAATTTTCTTGCTCTTTCTGTTTCTCTTTCTCATGATACTCTCCAAATCAAACTAAACTAGATGTACCTGTTTTTGTTTACAGGACAACAACCCTTTATAACTCTATTTCACTCTGATTTCCCTCAAGCTCTTGAAGATGAATATGGTGGTTTTCTGAATCCCAAAATTGTGTAAGCAATAGTGAGATTACTATGTTCTCTAGAATACATGGACATGGACTTGTCCTTCCCATTCACTCAACTGATGAAGAATTGGTACTTTGATTATGCAAACAGTCAGGATTTTGCAGATTATGCAGAAGNAAATCAATTTTTAAGTTCTAAAAGATTGAATTATTAAGAACAGATTAATGAAACATTCCCATATGAAGGTGATACTAGTAAAAAATTTAAAATACGTGTCTTGAATGAATTCCATTGAAACATATTAACATATTATAAAATTTAAATTTTAAAATTTTAAATAAGATCTTAAATCATAAAGATAAAAAGATATTGTTTAGAGTAACATTAAAATTTAAATATAATACTTAAATTAGCTTTTTAAATTCTTGAAACTGAAATGTTAGTATAATATTATTAAAGTGTCACTTTCATGAGAAGATTGTATTGAAATAAAAATTACATTAAGATTTAAATATTATGTGTTGTTATACAGTGAAGTGAAGTACAAGGCAAATGACATTATTATATAATGAAAGATATCCTCAATTAAATATATTGTCAAAATTAATAAATTAAACATATAATTATTACTTTTAGAAATAATGATTTTATTTCAGCCTCCTTCAAAGGTTTTCATCAACTTCTACCAAAGAGAACACATTTTCATAGCTTTGCCAACACAACTGGAATGGTACGAGGAAGATGGCATGAAGAAGTTGAAGTGGTTTAAGCATGGAACCTCTTAACCCTTTTCTGGAAGATTAGCATCTTTTTCATTTCAAGCACTTTAACCTAACTTACCATATCATCTAAGAAAACAAATATAATAATCAATATAACAGCAATTTTTCTTAGCCTTTTCACTTGCAAAAAGACAAAGAATCTCGCTTTTTCTTGTGGGGTTCAATAATATAAGTTCTGTGTTGGGGGGGGGGCAAAAACCAAACCAAGTTTGAAAATTGAGTTCATTCATTCAGATTTGAACAATGTGGCTGAAGGTTGTTCTTCTCCTTGCAACGCTTTCTCTTTTTCACTCGGCAGCTTCTCTTAATAGGAGCAGTTTTCCCCCAGATTTCTTCTTTGGAACAGCTTCTTCAGCTTACCAGGTTTTGTTCTGTCCCAAGTTGCTCAACTCTCTGCATCTTTATGTGTAAAGGTTGGATCTTTGTATCTGACTTGGCACTTTTCTGTTTCCTTTCTGGGTTCTGTGTTATTGGGTTTTGAAGTATGAAGGTGCTGCACGTGAAGGTGGCAAAGGCCCCAGTATATGGGACACATTCACTCATAGCCACCCAGGTTTGCATGGCCTCTCTATGTTGTTGTCTTTTTTTTTTTATTCAGCATCCTTATTTGTCCATTTTAGCTTGTAATGCATCATAGTTGTTTCCTTTTGCCGAAGTAACCTATGCTTCAATATAGTTGTTTTAGTGGGGAAGTTGACCACAACCTCTCCCACTCTCAGTTCTAAACCCTTCAAATCAACCTTATATCTCCCAAATGTTAGTAGGGGAAGTTGAATCTACAACTTTGCCCTTCTAATTTTTACCACTAAGTCTGTTATCCTTATAAGTTGTGATGTTTAAATTTGTTCTGCTTTTTGGCTCTTGTAGGCCTGGTTTTCTCCTTTAAAAGTCATATCGTGGATTAAGGAAAGAGAGTGTTTGTAAAGTGTCTTTGAGCATCATTCATAGACAACGTGAGACTTTTGGAGGGATGGAACAGTGCTATAGGAGATTTATTTGGTAGAAAATACATTGCATGTCTTGTTCCTAGTAACTACTTTTTAAGGTTTAGGGTTTAAGTGAAAAATGTCTTAAACTACTGTTAAACCAACTAACAATACCCAGAGAGTTGAATAGGGCAAGCTTAGGTGAAAAATAATAAGGATAATGCTAGAATAATAAAATATCTGTTGGATTAGTGTTGAAGATGTACATCAATGAACCACTCCATTTCATCAATTTGCTTGATCAAATTGATTTTGGGTTTTCATTATGAAGTTGGTTTATACAAAAAATTGAGACATTTTTCTTGGTTTTTCAGATAGAATAGCAGACCACAGTAATGCAGATGTTGCCGTTGATTCATACCACCGCTACAAGGTACTTTCTTTCTCATAATTTTGAACTTAGAAATCTAGTTGTAGAGGAATTTCCTTAGCTTCGCGAGATTTTATTTCATCTAGATTGATGATTTTGTTTTTTTACATGTGATTTTCTTTTTTTCAGGGGGATGTGGCTATGATGAAGGATATTGGATTCAATGCCTATAGGTTCTCCATCTCTTGGCCAAGAATACTACCTCGTGAGAAACTATAATTATCTCTTTTATTGTTTTGGTATAGCAAAATGCTAATTTGAATCATGAGTTTGCATGCTTTTGAGGGAATATATATTGAATCACACATAATGGTTAGTAGAGCTTTGTATGGTTTTTCCATAATGCAGTTAAGTTTAAACTACCTTGATTTTAGATGGAAACTTGCAGGGAGGAGTTAACCGAGAAGGCATTGCCTATTACAACAATCTCATAAATGATTTGATAGCAAATGGTCAGTGGACGTAATTTTCTTGCTCTTTCTGTTTCTCTTTCTCATGATACTCTCCAAATCAAACTAAACTAGATGTACCTGTTTTTGTTTACAGGACAACAACCCTTTATAACTCTATTTCACTCTGATTTCCCTCAAGCTCTTGAAGATGAATATGGTGGTTTTCTGAATCCCAAAATTGTGTAAGCAATAGTGAGATTACTATGTTCTCTAGAATACATGGACATGGACTTGTCCTTCCCATTCACTCAACTGATGAAGAATTGGTACTTTGATTATGCAAACAGTCAGGATTTTGCAGATTATGCAGAAGTTTGCTTCAGGGAATTTGGTGACAGGGTCAAGCACTGGATTACATTAAATGAACCAGTTCTATATAGCACTCTAGGTTATGGAAATGGTGGATCCCCACCCAATAGATGCTCCAAGTGGCTTGCTAACTGCACGGCTGGTGATTCTACCACTGAGCCCTATGTGGTTACACACAATCTCATTCTTTCTCATGCTGCAGCAGTAAAAGTTTACAGGGAGAAGTTCCAGGTTAATGCATTATTCTTGTTTTTAAAGTAAAAGTGAGTTTTTAGTTCCTATACTTTGAGACCAACTTGGTTATGATACCTGCATTTTCATGCTGATGAATTTAGTCCATCCTCTTGTTAAACTTAGCATCAAGCAACAGTTTTTTGACCATTACAAATTTGAAATAGGGACTCAATTCACATCTTTTCAGAAGTTTGAGGATTAAATTTATCAGTTTGAATGTGGAGGGACTGAATTCAAGTTTGATTGAAAGTATAGGAACCAAAAATGACTTTTTTTTCCCTTGTTTTATATTGGGAAAAATCCAAGTTCATATCGACTAGAGATGCTGTCCAAATATAGTATAAAGCTGGGGGAAATCTTTACCTTAAAAACTGGTTTTGTAGTATTGAGTTAAGATTAGATTACTTTTTAAGATTTTAAATAGAAAATTAAGTGATGGTGAATGATTTTCTAATAGGTTTCTCAGAAGGGTCAAATTGGGGTAACATTGAATTCTGCCTGGGTTCTGCCACTTTCTCAATCAAAAGAGGACATAGAAGCTGCATATCGAGGTCTTGCTTTTATGTATGACTGGTAAGTGTCTTTGCCACTAAAAAACACTCTTTTTGTTTCCATTCCTGATAAATTTCATGGCAGAAAAATATATCTTTGTTTCCTCTTTATTGCATATCTTTTATTTTAAGAAAATGTAAGGTTTTTAAGACACTTAGGATTTCTTTCCTTATTAGGCATTGACCATTAGGAATATCTTGGATTTGATTTTGTTTGAAATTTTCTTTTGAATTCCTGTAAGTCAATTGAGACTTGATCTTCTATATAATGTAATCAATAATAGACTTGAGGAGGGGAGGAAAAATAAGAAAAGGTTGAGAATTTTCTCAGCTACAGGTTCAGTTTCTCAGTATTCTAATAAATCAGCAAGCTTTTGGTTGCAAGTTCTGCTTTTCTGCATCAGTTTCATCTTGGGTTTTAGTGCCTTGGTGGATCATAAAGCATTTATTGCTTGCTTCTGAAGCATTTCTTGTAAGAACCAAGTAGGTAGAGCAACCAATAAATGCTTAAACAACTCATCAATACATAACTCCTCCCAAGTTTTTAACATTCTCTGTGACATGGTTAGCTCTAACTCATCTTATTTGTGTTCATTCAAGGTTTATGGAACCACTTTACTCCGGCACATATCCGGCCATAATGGTAAAGAATGTTGGAGGACGTTTGCCAAAGTTTACCAGAAGTGAATATTTGATGGTAAAAGGGTCCTTTGATTTCATAGGGTTAAATTATTACACTTCAACTTATGCAACTAGTACTTCTTGCCCACGTGAAAGACCAACTGCCTTCACAGATGCTTGTGTTACACTTACCTGTAAGCCATTTTAACTGAAGCTCACACACTTTTCAATTAACTTCTATTGAGTTTTCCTCAAAAACGTGCTTACCCATGATACCTTTTGTTGCACTTACATCAGCTAGAAGAAATGGAGTTCTCATTGGTCCAAAGGTACTTGTATTTGGAGATAAGTTCCATTCAGTGCATGACAATGATTATTTATCACTACATTAGTCTGAGTTAACCAAGAATTAACACTATTTACAAATAATTGAACATTATTTTTCACAAAGGATATGAGAAATTAATATTTTGCAGGCAGCCTCAGATTGGCTGTATGTCTATCCACCAGGAATTCAAGGTCTACTAGAATACACCAAGGAGAAATTCAACAACCCTGTTATTTACATAACAGAAAATGGTAAAAAATTCATCTTGGGTGATCTATGTCACCCTTTTGTTCTTTCTAAAACACAATCTTTACCATGCTACAACACTAGTTTTTCTGTTTCCATGAATGGTGTCATTCAAATTTTTGCAGGAATCGATGAGCTTAATGATGGAAAAATGGTACTAAATGACAGAACAAGGATAGATTACTTCAGTCACCACCTTCTGTATCTTCATAGGGCCATAAGGTGAGTTTAAAGTGATCATTGTTGTTATGAAGTTTACTGTTTGACCTTTTTCTTCCCTATATTCAAGAATTTGGAAGGCTAAAATGTATGAATTTGGTAGGAATGGAGTAAGG